TGGGATGCTGTATCCCTCTCAGCCTGGGTCTGTCTGCTGGGATGCTGTATCCATCTCAGCCCGGGTTGGCCCTGAGAGGCAGGATCGGAAGCCGGCCTCCTGTATGATCTAATCTATGTCAATGGCGGGGAAAAACAATTGCATATTAAAGGATATTAACAATAATCCTTGTTCAATATTTTCCTCTTCATTATTTACATTGTCTTTAAATACGGATATAGAATGTGGGTGGTTGGCGGGTGCTCTGGTGTGGTTTGCTTCTTCTTTCCAATCAAACATCTATCATCCTCATCTCCCCTTCTTCTTTTTATGTTTGTTACTCTCTTGTAACACCTCTAATCTTCTGGCGCTCATATGACCTTATGCAGTTGCAAGCGCCGTAAAACCTCTTCTAAAACTAAAACTAAAAAACAAACGAAAATAGAATGTCAGTTATATTCTTTTCATTAAAGAAGTCTATTAGCTTGCCTCTACCAACAAAACTTTTTGATTTTCCTCAAATTTCCATCACGACATTTTGGCACAAAAGTGGAAGCCCGTGTGGGATGACAAGAGTTAAAATAGAGGAAGCAAGATCGCCCTCTCCCCAGCCCCCCTGTAACTTCCGGTCAAGAAGTGATATTGATTGGCTTAGGACTTGCTCACATCGTAATGGGGCTGGTGGGATGGGCGGGTGAGTGGTTGTGTTGTGTGAGCGCTGCACTGATGAACTGAGAGAGTTGTGTTGTTGGGGGAGGGGGGGGGTGCTGCACTGATGAACTGACTGAAGTGTCTTTAGGTCATTCCCAAAGGGAAGACATCAACCATGTTCTTATGCACAGTAGAATTGTAAATGGGCTGATTTATCAATGTCATGCTCATACTGTGCCGGAACAACATAGGGGGAACAGCTGCTTGTTCTTTCCTCACCCTTACTATCCTCATTTTTTTCCTCTATCTTTTGTATGTTTGTCACACTCTTGTGACCCGCTATTTCCGGGGTGCCTTGATAGTCGAAGCAGACTTTGTGCTGTTGAGGCTAGAGAGGTGAGCAGA